TCAAGACTCTGTTCGAATGTTGGTCCAGTCCATTAGAGCTGACATAGTCTGCCTTCAAGAAACTAAGATGGAAGGCATATCTCAATGGTTTGTTCTGTCTACTCTAGGTCCGGGTTTCTGTCATTTTGTATTCGTACCATCAGTGGGTGCTAGTGGAGGGATACTTGTTGCATGGAAGCAAGCTCTTGGCACTGCTGGGAATTTTTGGGTGGACAATCATTGTGCTTCTGTCCAATTTCTACCCATTGACAGCGAACCATGGTGGCTCACCTGTGTGTATGGGCCACAAGGGAATGAGGAGAAGATCAATTTCTTACAAGAACTCCGCTTGATCCGCACTCACTGTCATGGCCCATGGATGGTAGCCGGGGATTTCAACCTCATCTATAGGGAGGAAGATAAGAACAATGCCAATCTCAACCGTGCTATGATGGGTCGTTTCCGTCGGGCCCTGGATGACTTGGCTCTCAAGGAACTTCCCCTAATTGGGCGCAAATTCACATGGAGTGGTGGCCGTAATTCGCCCACTCTCAGCAGGCTGGACCAGGTTTTCTCTACCATGGAATGGGAAAATTTATTTCCAAGTTGTCTGTTGCAAAGTACAGCCTCCATGGACTCAGATCATTGCCCTCTAATTATAGGGCTGAATGACATGCTGCCTGGAAAGGGCAGATTGCACTTTGCATCTTTCTGGCCTAAATTGGAGGGATTCCATGAAGTGGTTGGTCAGGCCTGGGGTTCAGTAGAAGCAAAGGCTTGTCCTCTGGAGACTCTGTCACTGAAGTTTAAATGTCTCACCCGAGATTTACAAAGCTGGAGTCAGAAATGCATCGGAAACATTGGTGCTCAACTTGGTATTGCCAGAGAAATTATCCATCAACTTGAAATTGCTCAGGACAGCAGACAGCTATCAGAAGGAGAGCTTTGTTTGCTGCACTCTTTGAAAAAACATTCTCTAGTTTTGGGTTCTATGCAGAGAACAATTGCTCAGGTCAGGTCAAGGATTAACTGGTTGAAAGATGGGGATGCTAATACAGCGTTGTTTCATGCTCATGTTCGTCATAGGAAGCGCAAAATTTTCATCTCACAAATAATAGTAGATGATCAGGTGCTGACTAGCCATGAGGATAAGGCTGCAGCAATTTTTGATTTCTATGATCAGTTGTTGGGCACAAGTGGCCAGCGGGATCTGACCATCAACCTTGAAGAGATGAACTTAAGCCAAATTGATTTGGCCGACCTTGAACTGCCTTTTTCGGAGGATGAGGTGTGGAACACCATCAAGCATTTGCCTCCAGATAAGGCCCCAGGCCCGGATGGATACACAGGGCGTTTCTACAAGATATGCTGGCCAGTTATCAAATCTGATTTAATGGCTGCTATATCAGCGGTGCAGCGTGGGAATTTTAGGAACATGCAGCTTCTTAACTCAGCACTACTAACCCTCTTGCCCAAAAAAGATGATGCTTCCTCAGTTAAGGACTTTCGACCAATTAGTCTTATCCACAGTTTTGCTAAATTGGTCACAAAACTGTTGGCAAACCGCTTGGCGGGAAGACTCAGTGAGTTGGTGTCATCCAATCAAAGTGCTTTCGTGAAAGGGCGTTGTATTCATGATAATTTCATACTTGTCCAGCAGACGGCCAGGTTCTTGCATCAACAAAAGCAGCCACGCATTCTATTGAAGCTGGACATCTCTAAAGCCTTCGACTCGGTTTCCTGGCCGTTTCTTTTGGAGGTTCTTCAGAGAAGGGGTTTTGGGCGTAAATGGCGGGATATGATCAGTGGCTTGCTTGGCTCGTCATCAACTAGGGTGCTACTCAATGGGGTCCTCGGTGAGGTTTTATATCACCAGCGTGGACTTCGGCAAGGTGACCCACTCTCTCCTATGCTTTTTATCCTTGTCATGGATGTCCTGAATAGATTGATTGAAAAGGTGAGCACTGAAGGGCTGCTGCAGCCAATTTCTACTAGGAATATTCATCATCATGTATCCCTTTATGCCGATGATGTGGGACTGTTTCTTCGCCCAGTCGCCACAGATTTCCAAGTGGTGGATGCACTGTTACGGCTATTTGGCACATCTTCAGGACTGAGAACAAATATTCAGAAATGCAGTGTCTCTCCTATTCAATGTTCAAATGAAGACTTGGCTGTGGTTCAGACTCATTTTCCATGTGTAGTTCAGGAGTTTCCCTGCAAATATCTTGGCCTTCCTCTTTCCATCAAGAAGCTGTCTAAGACACAGTTACAACCTCTGATTGAGAAGGTGGCTGACCATCTGCCAGGTTGGAAATCTGAGTTGATGAATCGAGCTGGTCGTGCTACATATGTGCAATCGGTTCTCACCTCAGTTCTAATCTATTTCGCCACTGCCTTGGAGCTTCCTCCATGGTGCCTGAAGGCGGTGGATAAGATCCGTCGTAATTTCTTGTGGCGAGGCAGGAAGGAGGCAAAAGGAGGTCACTGTTTATTAGCTTGGCCCAAGGTGAGCCGTCCAAAGGAGCTTGGTGGCTTGGGCATTTTAGACCTTCAAAGATTTGGCTGGGCACTCAGGGTCCGTTGGTTGTGGTTGGGTAAAACTGAACCTGATAAGCCATGGGCAGCCTTCGGTCACAGTTCATGGGAATGCACAGGCCCTTTTTTATGCTGTTGTAACTACGGAAGTCGGCAATGGGGCGAACACCAAGTTCTGGACTGATCGGTGGTTACAAGGGTCCTCTATTAAGCTATTAGCTCCCAATTTATTTGCAACTGTACCCAAGAGGCGGGTTAAGAAATGTACAGTTCAGGAAGCACTATTGGATAATCAGTGGGTACAGGATATCCAGGGGCACCACTCTGTGGAGGTCCTATCAGACTTCTTGGACATTTGGGACTTGGTTCAGGAAACATTACTCCTGCCAGAGGTTGAGGATGTTCATAAGTGGAAATTGGACATTTCAGGTCAATTCTCAACTAAGACAGCATATGAGGCTTTGTTCCTTGGGGCAGTCCAGTTTGAGCCGAGCACGTTAATTTGGAAGAATTGGGGTCCCAGGAAGTGCAAATTCTTCCTTTGGTTAGTTGCACATAATCGATGTTGGACAGCTGATAGACTTGCTAGAAGAGGTCTTCCTCATCCTGAGCACTGCCCCTTCTGCGACCAAGAAGATGAAACCATTCAGCACCTCCTCTGTTCCTGTGTCTTCTCTCGGCAATTCTGGTTTCAATTACTTCGCACCTTTGCACTCCCGGATATTGCACCTCAGCCATCTGCCACTGGGTTCTTTGACTGGTGGCAACAAGCCGGTAGCACTCTTGACAAAAGAACCAAGAGAGGATTCAATTAATCGGTCATGCTAGGAGCCTGGATGCTTTGGAAGGAGAGAAATGATATTGTGTTCAATGGTGCCTCGCCTAGGATAGAGCGGGTGCTTCTCCTTGCACAAGAAGAAGCCGCTCTCTGGAGGTTGGTAGGCGCTAAAGGCATTAGTGAACTGGTCGCTGCTCGACCTGGGGTTTAGCAGCGCCTGTTTGAGGGAGGAGAGGTCGACTTTTTACAGTTTTAATAGGCGCGTATGTAACCTAGAGACGGTGTGTAAAGTTGGTGTGTGTGCTGTTGTATGGCTATATAAGCCTTTTATCCCCTTTCTTAATGCAATGATACGTAGCTCTCCTGCGTATTCCAGAAAAAAAAAGAACTGGGTCTAAAGCTATAGTTCCTTTCCTAGTTTTTTTCAAATCTTGTTTGGTGATTATATTTTGGATCAGTATTGATGTTTTTTTTTACCCAAGCAAGTGTTTATGTTTTGTACATGTACTCTTTTGTTGATGTCAACAGGCTCTGGTTGGCCTAGCTGAAGAGATTGCTAATTTTGATGTTCCGTTAGGGTCTAGGAGGATAAACGGAAAATATATTCAATCTCATCTTCTCTCCAGATTAGAAGGTAAGTGGCAGCAATGAGCATGCAATGCTTCAGGTTGAATCAATATTTTGAAAGATTCAGTGAAATTATGTTTGCTCTCCTGCAGCTGTTCATGATAAGATTATGGAACAGATAAAGGATGTTGACTCTTTAAAGACCCAAGAAATTTCTGTCTACTGGGTTGGCATGGCTGAGGTAAACATTTGTTGACTCGTTATATGAGGAACAAAAGTTCTTTTTGCAGCAATATATAAATTATTTTCAGCTTCACATTACATTGTCATGTGTCTGCTATTGTCCCCATGGCCGCTTTCTTTAGTTCTTACATCTATGTTGATTATGTTTCCACATCAGAATGTGCAAATTATGGGTTCATTCGACGGATGGTCCCAGGGTGAGGCAATGTCCATGGAGTATTCGGGTGACTACGGAATTTTCTCTGCGACTCTGAAGCTAAGACCTGGAAGGTTAGTTTTATCAGTTTGTTCCATGCTGATCAGCTTGTTTTCTTCACGTAAATAAACTCACTGTGTGCCCCCTGGAAGGTATGAGATCAAGTTTTTGGTTGATGGGGAATGGAGATTGTCGCCAGAATATCCCACTGCTGGAGATGGAATGACGCAGAACAATATTCTTATTGTGGAGTAACAGAACTCTCATCTAGCATTACAATGTGGAAGTGTACCTTCATGCTTTCTTCCATCTGTAATATTATGCTACCATGTGGTTGCCTGACAGAAATCAGTGTTTGTTGAAATGCAAGGCTCCAGTTTGCATCAGTGTGTTCTTTATCGTGACATATGCTCCCTTCGTATTTAAATATATGACGAATAAATTAGCCTATCCTGAACGTCATATATTTAAAAATGAAGAAAAAAACTAGTGCTAGATCACAGTGATTTGTTCTTTTATATGCCCTAGACTACACCTGTACTGTCTGAGACAACCAAAAGTGTGAGATGCTCCTATTTAAGTATTTATTACTTGAAACTTTTGTACATGGATGTAGAGACAGACACGTGCCAGTAGTGAAAGCTTCTACAGATGCGTGGACCAAGCATTGGTTGAGCCCTGCAGCTCTATTTCCTGTGACTAATCTGAGCTGACACAGGAGCTCCCATGGACCTCAGCTACCTCCTGCACCATCAGCCTGACCACCGGCTGAGCCGTCCCGGAGCCAGACGATGTTGACGCGCCTGACAACGCCGGGACGACATCGAGGCACTCCTGGAAGTCGGCGTCGCAGGACAAGAGCACCCACTCGTTGTCATCGTCCAGGTACTTGACGTCGAACTCGCCGGCCTCCAGCCCCAGCCGCTTGGCCACCTCCCCCTTCACCGTCGCGACGCCTGCGGAGCTCGGCACCCTGAACCTGATGATGTCCCCTCTATAGCTCGCTTTGACAGTCACCACGCTGGCGTCTCCACCGGGCAAAGGCTTGCGCCATGTGGCCTCCTTCAGAGGAGGCGGCGGCGCTTGGCATGAGCCTTGGGAGGACGCCACTCTCAGAGCACTTGATAGGCATGGTAAGGCAGGAGCACGGCGAGCAGCAGCAGCCACAGCTGGAGCTTGCTGAGACGCAGCAGCCACAGCAGGAGCAGAAGCGGCCATGGTCTGTGATGAGCCTTGCACCAACTCAAAGACGCGCTTGATCTTGTCTAGGGAGCGGTTCGCCTTGGCGAGCTTGCGGAATGGCCACCTGGAGATGCCGTGCCGTCTGCAGATGCGCTTCATCGTTGTTGGACAAACTGCACAAGAAGACAGGCATGCTATTGTTATCTGACTCATGATCCAGCATTCAGTCATGAACATGGCTTTATGTCAAAATGTTCAGGAGCAATTCGCATTTTCGATAAATATAGATGGACAAGGAATTCATAGCTGCTCTTGACATGACCTTTTTCACTTACCACCAAGGCTCTTGGCTGCATCTTTCAGGCTTCCAGAGAAGTAGTGCTGCAGTTCTTCCAAACTGACAGTTTTTTCACCTTTCCTTTTCGTCGTCTTCTTACCAACTTGTGATCTTGGATCCTCGTCACCATGGTGTTCGTCATGGTGCATCTTGAGTGCTTCAGTGTCTGCAGTACCCATAACTGCCACCAGATGTAGACCCTCCTCATCTGAATCCCGCTCATCTCCTCCATGATAGTTCAGCTCAAGCTCGGGGGCATCAGCCATGGTTACACGATCAGGCCGAAGCACGCACTCGCCATCTGCAAAGATCTCAAAAGCCAAATCCTGCAACCCGCTTATCACGACCGCCTTCAGATCGCCACTGCCATAGCGCTCCATGATGGTGGCCGCGACGGCGTCCGCTGCCGCCTTCTGCGCCGCGCCGTCCCTGCAGTCCGGCGGGAGGAAGAACTCCAGCACGCACTCATCCCAGCCGCCGCCGCCGTCCATGTCCATGGACGCGTCGTCGACGCGGCGGCGCAGCTGCGCGCACACGGCGAGGCAGCCGGCCAGGCCGCAGAACCGCGCGTGGTGCGCGAGCGGGTACGCGTCCATGGAGTACTTGGTGACGTCGGCGCAGAAGCGGGGCCGGCGCGCCGCGGCCACCTCCTCGACGAGCCCGCCCCGGCCGGACCGCAGATGGTGCTCGACGCAGGCCTCGTGGAAGCCGAGGATGGTTGGGTCTGCGCCGGCGAGGTAGAACGGCGTGCCGGCCGCCGTCAGGGAGGCGTGCTCCGTGCCCGTGCTGCAGCGCCTGCACCTCGCCCAGGCCTGCGCTAGTGGCAGCTTGTGAGCCTCCCCCACTTTGTTCAAGATGTCTGCGACCTCGGACATGGCCACCTGAGCCGCCGCCTCATCGTCGTTGCAGACCTGGCTCGTGAGAAATTAAACGCATTGGATAGGATGTAAATGAACATGATTGGCCGTGATCGTGGCATCGAATGTTTCAATTTTGCTTAAATTACATGTGATGGCATTCGCATTCGCACCTCGGGCGCGGGGCGGCGGCAGATCTCGGAGCCTCTCAACGCCACTGCCTGCATTGCATTGCCATGGACAGTGAACACGAGTTGGAAAGCAGGTGGTATGATCAGAAGCTTCAAATGCCAAATGGATGAAATTGTGCCATTTCGATCGCTTTATTTGGTGGTTGAACGAACTTTTCATGAAATAGTGTATGTGTTGTTGCATCTGCAGCAAGACTGAGCGATCAATGGGCAGATGAAGAGTTGGAGCAGAGGAGGTACCTGGAGCGCCTTGGAGAGGCTGTCGACCTCGGCGGCGAAGTGGAGCCTGGGCGAGGTGGTGACGAGCTCGAGCACGGCGAGGCAGGACCCCGTGGCGGGGTCAAGGATGGGCAGCGCGAGCGCGGCCTGGATATCGTAGATGAGCGCGTAGCTGATGCGCGCGTACTCGCCGGTGCCGTAGTACTGCACGTTGGGCGTCCACTCGGGCTCCCCGGCGTCGAACACCCGCCCCGGCAGGCCCCGCTCCCCGGGCACGGCGGCGCCGCCGACGGGGAAGGCGTGCGTGAGCGACACCGTCCGGTACTGGAACAGGCGGTGGCACCGCGGCGGCGGCAGCACGAACGGCTGGCCCCGGGTGGCCAGCACCCGCCGGTCCCCGTCCCGCGCCGGCGCCCACACCTGCACCAGCGCACCGCCTCCGCCGCCGTCCTTGTAGATCCTCAGCGCCCGCGCGATCCGCTCCTTCACCGCGCCACCGACGGCGGCCTCCTTGTTGTCCTGCGGCGGGCCGGCGCTCGCGCTCCCACCTGCACCTGCACGCACGGATCCACCCACCGAAACAGCCGTGTGAGCAGCAGGCGATCCAGACGGAACAGCGGCCAGCGCTAGTCGTCGCTGGAGCTATAGAGCACCGCTCCTCACATGGGCTGTCGCTGCTCCCCCGGGCGTCGCCGTCACCGTGGCCATCGAGGAGAAGGTCGACGTCGAAGCGCTGGAGCACCCCGTCCATGTCGGTCTCCATCTCCATCACCATGTCCAGCTTGGCTGGCTAGCTCCGCATGCAACGACAACGATCCACGACGCGGCAAGCAAGCACAGGAGCAATGTCGAGCCGCAGCTTCCCAAATCTCACCACTCCTCTTCAACCAACTACTACCCCGCGGCGGCAGGTCAGCGGTCGGCGGCCGCTTGTTTATTGGCAAGTGGCGCCAGGTGGCGGACAGCAATTGGTGGGCCGCGCTGGGATCCATGGAATATTTTGGCTGCGTGGGGGGATGTGCCGCTGGAGGGATTGGGTTTGGATCGGACTTGGATTTAACTAATCCGTGGGCGATTAAAGAAGTTTATCTTCATGAGCTGTGTACTTCTAATTTGTACCTTCGATTAATCAAGCCTTAGAGGAAAGCTAGTACTAAATGAATAAGCAGTGCTCCTGCCAATCTTATATATATATAAAAGAAAGCTAGCGCTAGAGTATGAGTATCATACCTCTTATGTTCTTTTTTGTTATATTGTAAATATGGACCAAGATAGAACCTAGAGTTTTTGTTATAGTGCTTCTACACAGAGGGAGTATTGTTTATGATTATAAACTTACAATTATTGGATAGTACGTCTGATAATAAATCTAATAGCATCAATTTTGTATTACAATAGTTAAAATTGTTAGCTAAATTATTAGTCAATGCTTATAAAGTTTGACTAAACACGAAATGCCTTGTAGGGAGCAGAAGGCATGATTTTGACTTGCGTGGTCCTCAAAATCACACTTTCACCGCTATTTTTCTTATACTCCTACATTATGATATTTCTCAGAGAAAAAAGGCAAGTTTTATAAACTTTGATCAACAGGTATTCAAATTACATACAAGTTTAGGATATAAAACTTGCACCAATGGATTTTGTATTCGAAGTGCTTCTGAAATGATATTTGATTCTGTAGCAATAACAAAAATATTATAAACAAGTTATTAGAATATACTGTGTACAACTTTTTAGTTTTTACTGATCAAAATACGGTTATCATTTCGGAGCGCATAGGGAGAATATTTCAAGTTAACAAAAGTTTGACCATTAGAAAGGGTTTTGAAATACAAATCCAAATAAAATCGTTTTTATACTGCAAAATTTTCACATAGTTAGATTATTTATTGGTTAAAGACAATAAAGTTTACTTTTGAAATGTGTACAGATCTTATATTTCACGATACACGGGCTACTGATGTTTGACTGATCTTTTTCTTTCATCAAATTGAAAGCATCTCTCTTTTCTCGATTTGGAGGCAATTGAGACGGGGGGCGTGTTTGAACGCCTTGGTCGTGTGATTAGCCCGCCAAGTTTGCCCAGGTTACTTACGTGATTAGATTAGGCACCATATGCCCAAGCCGTGTGATTAGCGTTTAACGACCAAGTTTGGCCTTGTTGGAATGGGTTAGGGTACGTGTCCACGTCAGACGACTGAATTCATGCTCAAAGAAACGTGCATAGCAGGCGGTCAAGCACGTGATTCGGTTCCCTTTTGCAACCGCCTTTGCCGGTTCTCGCGTTGCCTCTCCAGAAGCAGAAGACAGCCAGGCTGTGTAACACGACCTCTAATCTAAAATTCTAATGCGCTTAACGAGTGATCTATTTATTTTTTACAGTGTATGTTTTTATATATGGCAACGTCCTGGAAACACCTTCTGACTCCGGCTATTATTAAAGGATATTTCGAGAAGATTAGGAGTGTGTTTGGGACCGCGTATTCTGCGGTGACCTCAAAAAGAATCCAACAATCGTTTCAAACGCCTTGTAGCCGTGATGATTGTTTCAACCGCACACATCAAATGAATCGTGAAAACGAACTACATCCCGTGTTTACTATACCAGGATCCTCCCCTCGCGGTACCCATACCGCACCACGCTGTCAACAAACGCAGTGCCAAACACGTCATAGGGTTCTCCAACAATTATGAGGCTAGACCATAAAACATCTTCCCACCAAATTTTAGTTAGATGGAAGAGAGAAAGAGGTGAAAGAGTACAGTTGACTGTGGACCGTGTGGTATAGTTTATAAGTTACTGTGCTTAAAACAAATCAAAATAGTTTATATAACTTTTTCTGGCTGTGTTTTTTTAAAGTATTGTGCTAGAGGTAAATTATTAAAGTAGTAAATTTAATACTTTTTACTGCTTTTCACTCATACTCCTTCTGTCCCGCTTTGTGTGTCTCTCTCCATGTGTCACAGCTTTGCCGTGTACCTAGACCCTCCCTCTGTCCACATTCATTTAATCTCTGACGTAACTTGTCAGAAGCTAAAATAACTCTGATAAAGAGACAGAGGGAGTACGAGGATGACGAGCTTGAGCCAGTGCGCTAGATCTGTTGTTGCTGGACAAATCCTGATGCATCTGCCGGACTGCAACTACTCAGATGGTGAGATGTTTTTTTTGTTGATTTCTACAAGTAGGTATTCCCTCCGTCGTCAATGTAAATCTCGTTTCCGGACAAGTCAAGAAAAAATCTTTAAATTTGACTAAGTTTGCAGAGGATGTTATCTGCATTTGAATCCCCAATTAGATTTATTCTCAAACTATTTTTCATAACTAATCCAATAATACTTATTACACATCATAAACAATAATATTTTATTTGTATTTTGTCAAAATTAAGAATCTGTGACTTCTGTGAAAGCGAGGGTTACACAAACATTTTTTTTAGACGGAGGTAGCAGCGGACATCAGTGAAATCACTCTCTTGAATCCAAATGCACAGAACATGGTCGCTATGTGAAAGAGGAAAGGAAGATCAGGGCTGTTTGGTCGCCCGCCACGGATTTGCCACGCTTAAAGTTAAAGTTAGGCTTCGCCAAGGTGCCTTAGGCGGGTGTTTGATTTGTAACCGAAAAGGCTCGCCACACTCCAGCCACAGTACTCGTCACAGTTTTCTACGTCGAATGTGCGGCGAGCTTTTCCTCCGCCTCCGCCTCGCCTCGCCACAAACTCTGCCACAGCACCACCCCTCCTCTTGCTATGCGGCACCCTGCCATCACCGCTCGTCCCTTCACCACAAGCCCGTCCGCGGCGACCACCGGCTGCACGGGGCCCGACACACCATGGCACCGCGCCCAGCTATGCTATGCTCGGAGTTGAAGATGACTGCGGGCCACGGCTGCTGCTTGGTCCTGGCGTGCCCGCTGCTCGTCCGTGTCCCTTTGGACACGCGCCCTAGCGCCGCCACGCTACCGCGCCCAGCCAAGGTCGGCGGAGTTGAAGACGACGGGCCTGGTGGTGGCCGAGCATGGGGCCGACGAGCGTGGTGGTCGTCGGAGGAGGTCGGACTCATGATTTGAGTTGAGCGGAGGCCGTCCATGGCGGAGGGCCATGGCTCGATCGCATGCATCATATGCACGATATAGAGCGAGGTGCGGGCGATGGGGAAGCAAAGGGAAGCTTTGAGAAGGAAGGGGATAGAGACGAGAGAGGCGTGCGCTCAGCTGTGGACGGGAGGCTCAGTGCCTTGGTGGGTGGGGATTGATTGTGTGGATGAGAGCCTTGGTGGGTGTCATTTTTTTATTTTCTCCATCGATGGTTCCTAAGTGAGATTTCTTTTCTGTACTTTTTCTACGCTAATTCAAGACCCCGTTTAGTTCCACTTCATTTTACAAAAATTTTCAAGATTTTCCGTCACATCGAATTTTTGGACGCATGCATGAAGCATTAAATGTAAATAAAAAATAAAACTAATTACACAGTTTAGACGAAATTCACGAGACAAATCTTTTAAGCCTAATTAGACTATGATTGGACACTAATTGTCAAATAACAACGAAAGTGCTACAGTACCATTTCGCCAAAAAATTTGCAAACTAAATAATGCCCAAATATTCATTCCAACAAAATATTTGTTTATTTTATGGGATGATTTGTTTTCTATAATTTCTTAAGAGCTAAGCACATGCTTAACACTATGATTAATTACCTACACCATTGTCAATATATTTGTGACACTTATCCTCGTGAATGGAATTGGGGCATTTTAAAGGCTGCAATCGGGTACCACAACTTTTTATGTAACATTTGTAGCAATAAACCAAACAACAACCACACTAATTTTTTGTCATATCTTAGTTATTAACCAAATACTACTAACTAGTAGTGTGCCCGTGCTAACGCTACGGTGACATTTTAGTGATGCACATTAAAACAATCAAATGACGATATTTCTTTCCATAGTTACCACAATACAGGAGATAATACCATTATAACCAGTAGTAGTGCCCTCATCCATATGAATGATGACAGACTTCTCATTGGCACGTATCGTGTGTTTAAAACCATTCTATATTGAAATCATTTTATGAACTATATATGATGAATATGAATGATGGTAAAATGTTCCAGCTCCTCTGCTGTCTCTGCCGTTTTCTTCCCTGCCTCCCCCATTTCCCTCCAATTCCTGAGACGCCAGCGAAACGAGCTCCTCCGTCTCCGTCGATCTGTCGGCGGTGGGCAACGAGCTCCTCCATCTCTATTGATCTGCCAGCGGCAGGCGTCGATCCAGTGGTAGCTCCTCCTCCATATCTATCCGAGCTCCGCCCAGCTCCAACAGTGCACATGACGTCTTTCTTTCTTCTATAGGTGGATACTCAATAAACTAAACCTAAAAGAATGAACACCATACCAACAGTGCTTCTACGTAGTTCCATTCCCCAAACAATAGTCCCTGCACATAAATCTTCAAATATTCAGTAATCATGTAACTGAACATCCTCGCAAATGTTTAGTAAGATTCAGGTGAATTTTTCAATTCTATGTTTCTTCTACAAGAAAGGGTAAGCTAAAATATACCAAATTGAATTGTTACCCTAAAAGTATTTAGAGCCACCAGCTTAGAATTTTTTTTCCAAAATCATTGAAAAGAACATTGTCCAATTAATAGATAAGAGGAAATTACAATGGCTCAAAATAAGCTTATTACCAAATAAATGTCTGCTCCTAGGGAAAAAGCCAACTGTGTCATTGCTTTCCTAGATCAACTACAAAAAACAAAA